AAAAAAAAAAAAAAAAAAAAAAAAAAAAAAAAGTTGGGTTCACTATTAAGAAGTCTAAAGGGCCATCCCTCCCATTCCAGCTACGCAAATAATCCATGAATTATATAAATAACATTATTAAAAAAATATCCATAAATTATTGCAAAAAAGAAAATAATAATAATAATATTGTGATTGGTTATTGCTTTTTAATTTTTTTAAAAATTTAGTTATAAAGTGGTAATATATTGAAGTGGTCTTTAACGTCATAATTTATTTATTTATATATATATTTTTTTGTTAAAATATTGACGGATGAGTATAGTTTAACTGATATAAAATGTGTACCAGTGAATTACATGGATATGAGTCTTGCTCAACTGAAATAAAACTTGTACTATTGGTTAAGAGGTTCGAGTGAATTTTGCTCATATGGGTCTAGCCCAAGTGAAATAAAATTTATTCCATTGATTAAGATGTTCGAGTGAATTAGCTGATATGAGTACAGTTCAATTAAAATAAAAACTTGTACCATTTGTTAAGAAGTTCGAGGGAATTTCGCTCATATGGGTCTACTATTGATTAAGAGGTTCGAGGGAATTTCGCTCATATGGGTCTATCCCAATTGAAATAGAATCTATTCCATTGGTTAAAATGTTCGAGTGAATTAGCTGATATGAGTACAGTTCAACTGACATAAAATATATACCATTGATAAAGAGGTTCGAGTGAATATTGTTGATATGAGTCTAGCTCAACTAAAATAAAATATAAATTATTGGTTAAGAGGTTCGAGTAAATTTTGCTCATATGAGACTAACTCAACTGAAATAAAATCTTACCATTGGTTAAGAGGTTCGAGTGAACCTCGTGATACGAGTATAACTCTTAAGGTCAAATAATAGGACCAAATTGATAATTTAATGAAAAAATTGAAGAAACCACAAAAATTGTATCAAACATTAATAAACCACTTGTGGGATATAACCTAAATCAAAGCATTAACAAATCATTTATAAAACTAGTGAATATGCAAATTAATATTGCAACACTTAGCACATTTCAAGGATAATTTTACTATTTTGAATTTGGTTTAGTGTTATTTGAAATTTATTAAATTTTCGAGATTTTTTGTTCACGTTTCACATTCATAATTTCAAAAATTTAAACATTCAGTGAATCGTTAAGTCTCGAACTTTTCTCTTCTCTCTTCCTCCCTAACTTACATGCAACTGTGATTGTCTACCCTGACCACGACATCGACGACTCCTCATACCATTGGTAACACCACCACGATACCCTTGCACGATGAAACACATGACCAACATGTGAGCAATGACATATTCTTCCTCGAGCAGTTGAAATGACTAGAGAGAGAGAGAGAGAGAGAAGTGGACCGAGTAGCTTATCATGAAATAGATTTCGTTATGTAATGAATATGATGTTAGTGCATGTATCGTTATGTATACATAAAAGTTAATTATGGGATCTCCATGCATGCATTATCATAATAAGTATAGTGATGATTAGTTATTCTATATCGTGATAACAAGGCGTTATGATTGGTGAAACTCGACCTCTCGAACTGGGTACCAATTTTTATAAGTTGAGGTAAATTCTTTTAGATTCCTACTTATGGACCAACACAGAATTATTACAATCTATGAGAACAGAGTTAAAGATCTTTTTTGTGAGATCTCACATAGTTGGCGAGAGGAACAAAACATCCATTTTATAGATGTGGAAACCTCTCTCTAGTAGACATGTTTTAAAATCATGAAGCTGACAACGATACATAATGAACTAAAGCAGATAATATCAATTAGGGTAACGAACAAAAAAATCTAGGATGAAAACTCAAGTGAAATCGGATCAACCAATCAACTTGACAAATACAAAGAAATTAATGAATCACTTAAAAGTTGTAGCTATGAAATCTAAAAGCCACATTAAAAAAAACATAAAAACTAAGTCAAACATTTAATAGATCATTAATAAAGCTTCAAAATTTAGGTCAAGAATTAACGTGCTCGTTCTGTCATACTAACTATCTTTCGGTAGTCATTCATTGAATGTTGTTTAGTTACTTGTTTAAGTAAAAGACTCAAAAATCAACTCAAATATAGTTAAATTATGACGACGAATCCATGAATGAATGGTAATCACATACGAATGAGAGTGATCTTGATGATAAGATGATTAAGAAAAATTTAAATAACGGAAAGTTACTATATATTACTAATAAGATGTACATTTGTTTTCGGCTCAATCATAGGAACTAAAAAGTTAAGCATTTTTTGTTCGGAACAATCTTATGTTGGGTGATCTCTTGAGAATTTTCTTAGGAGACATATGAGTGAGAAAGAGAGGAATGACTATTAGTGCCATCACGTGCTTAACTTGAATTCCACATGATCTAAATTCGAAGCACGAATTGTTACATAAGTATATCGTTGATCAAGAATTTTGAAGTTCGAATCTTCCTTCCTACACGCTGAACTTAAAACAATAAAATAAATAAAAGATTGTGCATCAAGATTTTTTGTAAAAAAACAAAACGTCTTGCAATTTCAATCATTCTACGTGTATAATTGTAACAACATAAACTCATGACTAGTAGATATTATCAATTATGTCCTGTTATGTATCACTGTCAGCTTCACAGTTTTAAAATGCGTTTACTACGGAGAGATTTCCACACCCTTATAAGGAATATTTCGTTTCCCTCTCCAACCAATGTGAGACCTCACAATCCACTCCTCTTAATGGCCCAACGTCCTCGTTGGCACATTGTCCGTTACGTATCGCCGTCAGCCTCACGATTTTAAAACACGTCTACTAGGGAGAGGTTTCCACACCCTAATAAAAATGTTTCGTTCCCTTCTAGTTTTAGACCCGTTAAAACTTTCTTTAATTAAGCTTTTTTTATCTCAAATTGGTGCAAATTCTTTATATTTCATTAGTTCTTATGAAACTAATTTGACTAAGTTTCACTGTAAGGAATGAAAACTAATTACAAAGTTAATACAATAATAAATGAAAATCATTAATCGGATAGACCCTACCTCTTAATATATTGAAGAACTTATAATGGTTTGATCAAATGGATATTAAAAAACTTACAATGTTCCAAATTTTCCAAGTACCTATAACCAAATGCTGGATCGAAGTCGCACTTGCACTCGATGGATATCTCTATAGGTAAATCGGTCACCGCCATACACTACCGACACCAAGGAGAAATCGTCT